ACACACACACACACACACACACACACACACACACACACACACACACACACACAGCAGACAGCTGACCTTGGGAGGACAGGGCTGCCTGCTGTGTAAGCTACAGGTAAAAGTTATTTTAGCCCATGTGGGCTAGGACCGCAGAGAGGCAGCTAAACAGAGTTGTGTCACCATGACAACATGATTGCAACAAGTTCGCTGCTCTCACACACTCCCCACTTCCCATCTGGCCCTTACTGGTGACCAGGGAGGGCTGGCTGGCAGTCGGATCACCAGGCAGAATGTTTGCAGCAGGGTAAGACTTTGGAGCAACAGCTGTGAAACAGGGCCAGCTGGGCAGAACCTGGAGTGTCCCCAAAGAGGTGCCCCGACATGCCCTGGCTGTATTCTGGGGCAGTGGGAAGAGGCAAAGATAACTCTATTTAGAACCTAAGAAAACAGGACTAAGCTGTCAAAGCCCCTTGCTTTGCAAACATTTCCTCTCCAGCCAGAGAGTTAGCCCAACACCTGGGTCTCACTTAAACGACCAAAGAACACCCACTGCCACTCTGTGAGAATTCTGCTGTACTTCTTTCCAGCCCAGTCCAGCTAACAGGGGTGATGGCTCCAACCTCAAGCCTCCTTCATGAGAGAAGCCCACCCTCCCCGTAGAGCCCAGCACTCCACCTTCCCAGAAGAATCCCCTGCCCTCTGGCCCAGACACCACCCCATCCTGGCTCCCCTCAGCCCACAGGGCAGGCCCAGGCTGAGAGAAACCAGGCCATGCATGCAGGGTCCTGCCTACCCTGGCTGGACCCCTGCCCCAGCTGCAGCCTGCCCTGCCTCACTGTTCCCTGGCAGCCAGGTGAGAAGGCTGCATGAACATCTGGCTTGGCAGAGGAGCCTTATGACCTGACCGACCTCAACCCTGGAGATTCCCTTTCTGCAGCCCTACCTGCCTTCCTCCTCCTTTCCTCCTGGACTTTGGTCTCACTCAGATAGCTGGCAAGGGGCGTCTGCTGCCCATACAGATCCGGACTGTAACTTGGGGAAGAACCAGCGGGACAAAGGCTCAGCACACATACGCAGGCGTGCACACACTCACACGAGGAATGAGCACAGCTCCTTCTACCTCTCAGCTACAGCCACCGCCTCCCCTCCACTCATGGCCTTGCACATTAGCATTGTGGGGCCTGGTCTTCACCTGCCTGTGGACCTCGCAGAGCTGCGTCCAGCATAGGCCCACCCCTGTGGCCACTCTGCCCTCCCCCAAGCAGCCACTGCCCCCCTCAATGGACCCATGCCCCTGAGAACCACAGTGGAGGAAAGGGAAGGGAGGATGGATGGGCAAGGACGGGGGCAGCACCCTTGGGTCCCCTGAGGTGAGGATGGACAAGGGCAGAGGACAACGGGAGAGGAAGGGAAAAGCATGCAGGGAGCAGAGGGGAGACAAGCCCTCCCCTCAAAGTCTATAGACAGCTAGACTTGGAGATGGCTTCGGTCTAACTTGACTGACAGCAGCTCTGACTCTCCAGAAATACAAACCCTAGCGGAGGGCAACGATGGCAGGTCTTTAATATCACTGGCCAAGAAACGCTCACAAACATAGTTAGGCAATCTGGTTCTCTCTGTGGTGCAAGATGTGCATTCTCAGGGGACCAGAGCAGAAGTGATTATTATTCAGGATCGCTGAGTCCCAAGCAAAGGGCCCCTGCACCCACCCTTCCTGAGCCAAGCCCGGCTCCCTGCATCAACCTGTTTGCCCTGGATGCTGGGATAGGCTCCAGGGACAGTCTCCAGAGAGTGGTGAGGACAGGCCAGTGGGAGCACAGCACATCTTCCAACCAGAAAGATTTCCTGAATGGGGTTTGGAGCCTAGAAGGTGCAGGAGCAGGAATGAGCACCAGTGGCTATCAGCCTCATGCAAGCCCCAGGGCTCCACCCATGACTCCATAGGGGACACCAAGACAGGCAGAAGGCATGGCCACTGCCCTCAAAAATATCAGAAGTCAGAGTACACACAAATCCTTGGTTGCAAATTAGAATCTACACTACCTTGGTACACAGATGGCTTTGGTCACACCTATGGGAGGGGTATGGACCACAATTGCTCCATTCCTAGTCTCAACTCCTAGAAGCCAAGGTACTTATTTAAGAGCTAACTGCCTGTTACAGATTGAACGGGGTCCCCCAAAATGCCATAGGGAAATCCTAACCTCCAGTACCTGTGAATGTGGCCTTATTTGGAAATTGGGTCTTGGCAGGTAGAATCAAGATGAGGTCATGAGGGTAGCTCCTTAATTCAATGACTGGTGTCCTTATGGGGGGAGAAGACGGCCATGTGAAGGACACAGACACACAAGGAGGCCACCACGTGACAACGGAGGCTGACACTGGAACAATGCAGCTGGAACACCAAGGATGCCAGCCACCATCAGCAGCTACAGGACACTAAGCTTCCAGAAGCTACTGGCTTCCCTAGAGCTTTCAGAAGGAACATGGCCTTAATTTTGTACTTAAAGCCTCCAGCACTGGGACAATAACATGTCTGTTGGTTTAAGCCACCCGGTCCGTGGTACTTGGTTAGGGCAGCCCTAGGAAACGAGCACATGGCCCAAGTCCCAGGCCCTAGCCTTGGCTGTGTGATTGGAGGACCAAAAACAAAGAGAACAAAATTCCTGCTTCAGCCTCACCACCCCTCCTGCACCAGCACTCATGACCAATGACATTTGGGTGCAAGCCACCCTGCCAAGGACAGCCAGCACCACCTCACCAACAGCTGGTGCTGAGATAAGTCAGAGTGACAAGTACAGTGGTCAATGCAATTCCGGCCCATTCTCGGGCAAACATATCACACATGAGACAGTGAACGTGACATGATTGTTTCAAGGGATAACCTTAACCTTAAATCTGTTCTCATTTATTATAAGCAAAAGGTAAATTATAACAGAGGTGATATGCTTACTCTTATTTGTAACAACTTGCTTGTAACCCACAGTGATCCTGACACGTGTCATGGCAGGGAGACTGCAAACTGCCTCCAGCCAAATGCTCAGCTCTGAAGAGCAGGGTCCCAGAGCCCGACAGGGACCTATCTGAGGAGGGGTTGGCAACAGGGCCAGAGGAGGCAGAGGAGGCAGATTATGTGCTCAGCTGAAAGAGAAGGGTGGTAAGAGCAGGTGTGAATGGGCAGGTCAGGAGAACCTTCTCCAGCCGCTGGGGGTCCAGGAGGCACTGCCCACTCGGCACCTCTCTGGCCCAGGGCCACGCGGGTGTTGAGGTTCTCTACTCTGGGATTCTTTCCCCCAGAAGCGTGGGCAATTCTGGGATAGCTGGGAGGGCTCAGGGAGGCTGGGAGAGGTCCTAGCCACCTTTAGCCAAATGCAGATCTCAGGAGGGAATGATCAAAGAGCCTGGAGAGGGAGCTGAGAAACCAAGGGAATGATTCACCCAGATGAGGCTGTTCACAGGGAACTAGATAGACCCCCAACAAGGGCCTCACTTACAGCCCTGAGATATCCAGGTCCTCACCTCCAGCCTCACGTCTCTGCCCTAGACCTTTTTGAGGTCACTGCAGCCATCAGCTCCCACACATTTCGGAGAAAGTGCCCTATCAATAGATTCCTGAGTTCAAATTTGGCTCAAAGATGGGAGTGATAATATTCTAAGGAATTAAAACGTAATGGCTGTGAAATAAAACATAAAGTCCTATACAAATGTAGACCATTATTCTTATTATAATCATCTTTATTATTATTATAACTTATAAAATGGTGGTCTAATCTCCAAGTGGAGAGGGAGAAGCGAGATTTCAGGGCAGTTTAAATGTCCCTGAAAACATTTCTGGCCATCTCAAATAAGCACCAGTTCTAGCCCCAGGGATCGACTCTCAGGAACATGACACTGGTTAATGATCAACAACAGGAAAAATACCCACCTATCAGCAGACGGCTTTGGAAGTAGGTTTAAGCCTCCCTCTCGAAGAGAGTGCCCCCAAACCTATAACCTCCCCTCACGTGCATCCCCCACCACAGCAGCTCCCAGCTACCCTGCCATGCTCAGCTCTGCTTTCTCCTGCTTTCCAAATAGCAAAGCTAGAAAAATGCAGACAGGTGGCCACTAGGAAGAGCTGCCCAGGAAAATGAACCAAAAGGAATGAGACACATTATTCATAACAGCCAAAAGGCGGAAATACCCCAGGGCCTACCAACCAATGAATGGATAGACAAAACGTGATCTATCCACAATGGAGTATTAGTCTGCCATAAAAGGAGTGAAGTGCTGATACACGTTACAACATGGATGGACCTCAAAAACATTGTGCAAAGTGAAAGAAGCCAGTAGCAAAAGGCCACATAACATATGGTTCCATTTATAGGAAACGTCCAGAATAAGCAAATCCAGACACAGAAAGCAGATTAGTGGTCACAAGGGGCTAGAAGAGGGGGAAAATAGGGAGTGACTACTAATGGACAAGGGGTTCCTTTCTGTGGGGTGATAAAAATGTTCTGGAACTACATAATGGTGATGGTTACACAATTTTGTGAATATACTAAAAATCACTGAGTTTTATCCTTTAAA